GTACCCGTAATCAACTTCCTACTGTGACGTGGCACGCAACAGGCACCACTGCGGATATATAAGGGAACTGCACAGCAGCTACCAGTCAGTTCTACTGTAGCAGTCGCGGAGTTGTAAAGTAACAGTCGCCTAGTTAGTTGTAACCTGGCCATCGCCGAAGACAGTACCGAGTTGTAACGTAACAGTCGCCGAGTCGAGTTGTACTGGGACAGCCGCCGAGTTGTACCGTAACAGTCGCCGAGCCGAGTTGTAACCTGGCCATCGCCGAAGACAGTTCCTAGTTGTAAAGTAACAGTCGCCGAGGAGAGTTATAAAGTGACAGTCGCCGAGTGTGTTTTCAACAGTTCTCCAGTCAGCCGACTACTGTTGGAGTATAGCAGCCGTCGCGGAAAGAAGATCCGGACGTGTGTGTGATTGTGTAATTGGGAGCGTGTGATACAGTGATACCTAGCTCCCCTACTGTCAACGTGTAGACTACTGAAGACAGAGTGAACTGATTTGCGCATAGGGTTATAAATCGTGAAACCCCGCAACAGTGTTAACAGATTAATGCGATTAGGGTTATAAAGTGTGAAACCCCGCAACTGTGTCATAAGTAATTGTAGCCATTACTTGTAGATTGTTCAATAAACCAATTAACGATCTCTACGGCGTCTTCAGTAACGAAACACGTTACAGTATGCTTTACCATGATTTGCGGCAGTCTGTACATCTTACCCTGTCACAACTTTGTGTTTTATTGTATTACTGCTTTTCACGGCTTGCCACTACTAAATAAGGATTGTTTGTATTGGGAGAATATATATGTCTTACTGATTAGCGACCAGTAGCATGGTCAATAAGTGGTACTGAAGTGATTTTCAGGGTTGAATGCAGCATGACTGGTGTGTATCTCCAGGTATTTGGATTATCTCTTGTTTTTAATTGCCAGCACTACCTTTTCTCTCTGTCACTGCACATACCTGAGAATTCATTGTGCTAAGCAGAACAGTTTTAATAGTATTATCCTCTTGTCTGTGCAGAGGTGCCTAGGTCCTCCTTCCATTATGTTTTCAAATTAAAATTCTGCACATATTTATCTCCTACATGTATGCTGCATGTTTACAAGGGACAATTTACAAAGTTCATCCTGTAATTTACTCGACAATTCTGTTGCTGTCCTTCTCTCTCTCTGGCCCAGATATTCCTTTCAGCATCGTCTTCTGAAATGTTGTTAGCCTATTCTTTTCCATCACTGTGAGAGACCAACTTTCATACCCAAATAAAACAGCAGGTAAAGAAGTTTTGTATGTTATGATCTGTGCATTTTATGTAGCAAGTGGGAAGACAAGGATTCTGAACTTATTGGTAGCAGGTGTTAACTCCCTTGAGAATATAATTTTGGTTGTTACTGTTATTCCCAAATGTTGGAACTTTGTCACATTTTCAAATAATTTATTAGTGTTCCATATATCATTATTTTGTCTTGCATCCTTGTTATTTAACACGAGTGTATATTTCTGTGTGTGTTTATTCTCAATGTTTGAGTCTGGGGCAGCTCTCTGATCTGACAGAGTGAGGAAGCTGAACTTGTACACCTCATGCGTTAACCTGTGTGTGCAGCATCATGCTGGAACATGACGAAGCATGCCTTGTGAGGGAGCAGGCTGCGGTTCTGCTGACTAACCTGAGCAGTCACAGCATCTCGACATCTGGAGGAGGTGCCATGCTCAGCCTATGCCACACAGCAGTGAATTCTGAAGAGGTGAGATGTTTCTCTTGTTAAGTACATTGTACTCAGCTGTAATTAACTGGACATATACATGTTGCCTATGTAACGTGACAAGTAAATTCACACGGGTCTCGGATTTGGCTAAGATGTTTATTGGACGATCTCTTTTATACTTCCAAATACAATTATCATCCACCTATAATGTCATCAGATGTTTCTTACATCACTGTTATAGTTACTTCTTGTGCCGCTAATCTCGGTAAAGTTTTCTGTTCCCCTTGTCGGATGCGAGCTTTCTTCTGCTGTAGTCCGAGCTACACTAAGAACTCAAAAACTGACTGGTCTCTTCGAAGCTGGACTTTTATAACCTGGTCTCAGACGGAATAGAATGCACCATGTAGGAGGCTTTGGTCTCAGCTGCTGTCATGCAACGAACCTTTTGTTGTCCCTTCATCTCTGGGGAAATGCGTTTGTTGCTTAAGGTATTCCTAGGAAGTGACCCGCTGGTATTGTGTTTCCATGGAAGTATACATTCTTGTCACAGCCGTTTCCTGTCAATGGATGTGTCTTCTGTCCTTTTTGGCATCACGCCACAATACACATTCCTTGATTTATGCCGTAGTTTTGACCACCCCTCAAACCAGAAGGTGAAACTGCATAAATTAACATAATTTTCTCTTCTTCCCCATATTCCTCCTTTGCAAACCTGCACAGCAATCTGTGAACCCTTCTCCCCGCTTCTCATGATTGATCAGCAAGCAGTCTGCATTAAAGCTGGCGCTATTAATTGAAATCGATCTAAGTTAGTTGATGACATTAAAATGAAATTGTATGTTTTGCACTCGCATATTATGAAGTATATATAGCTGTGCTTATTTATATATGATTTGAATCTTGCATAGCGACAGTACACACTGAAACCTTGATTTAAGGTTTGTCTGGGGGACAAGCATTTTCTGCCTCAAATGGGAGATTTGGAAAACAGAGCCTAAAATGACTGTTAAATTTAGTTAAATCAATAGTAAGTTTGGGGCACACAGTAGCGTAGTTGGTTGAGGCACCATGCTACAAGCTGGAAGGTCGTGGGATCGAATCCTGATCAGGTGGATTTTTTTAAATTTACTTAATCCTCCCAGCCCCACTATGGCCCTGGGGTCGACTCAGCCTGTAACATAAATGAGTACCAGGAATATTCCCGGGAGGTAAAGGGCGGCCAGCGCATAAGGCTGACAACCTCACTGCCCTCTGTTAGCCTATTGTCTAGAAAATGTGAGAGCCTCAACATCTCACAACCCTATGGGCCTCCATGACCTGTTACAGGAATACCTTTACCTTTAACAGTAACAAGTCACTGAATCTTATATTATATTTAAGCATCCTGTTGCACTATACACCTCTATATGTAAAACTACAAATGCCTTCGTGAATGCAACAATTTATTTGGTTGTAGATCTTTGTCTTTTCTTCCTCTACGCTGCATGTTTTGGCTGTAATTGGCCATCATCAAGTGTATTTTTCACTACGTAGCTGTCACACTGCACACAGTCCAAAATCTAAAACATCAGCCTCTCAGTTTTGTTTTAAAAATCTCGCCAGCACACGCTCGTCAATTTGATTTTTAGAATTCCAGTTTAAAATTTAAAATTCCTAAAATTTAAAGTTTTAAATACCAGGGACACCTGCTCTTGTCTACATGTGCTGCAGCGGCTATTTCACTGAATCTTGTTCATTTAATGAAATAAAAGTTTCTTTGTTTTTGTGAATGAGCCCCACGCCAGCTTTCCTCTTCAAGAACTGAAACTCTCCATATATTGTAGTTATGTTACTCAGTGACGATGGAGGCAGCGCGGAACACTTGACAGTTTCATTTCATGGCTCTCATTGATTTAGCATCCTGAAATGTTGCACTTTCAGGTGCCAGTGACTGGTGTCCAAGCAGTTCAATTGCTTCTGACTCAGTGCAACTTCTATGGAGAAGTGGCTACAGTTTTGTCACGGCTATATCTGGGTAGCACCGTGAATCCAAGTGGAACTAATGGCACATGTGGCTGGACTGTTGAGCGTTCGTCTCGTCAACATGCACCACCTGAGGCAGGATTGCAGCCCGGTCAGCGGGCAGTGGTTTACACTGGCAACACTGATAGCAGATCTTCCAATGAACACCAAGGTTTGTGTGTGAGATTTGAGATGCTAAGGATGGTGAAGATTTTGGGTTATTCCACTGTGTAGTCTGGTAGCTGGTACCAGTGTTTCAGAAGAACATATGCCTTCAGTTGAAGATTACATAGTGCCAAACAAGCACAAGCACTCAGCATTGGTCCCTGCACTGACCCGGGAATCAAGTTCACACCCAGTTTCCTTACAATCCCTATCGTAGTTTTTCTCTTCCCATTCACATATGTATCTCACAGGTGGTCTTTTCTGTTCAGATTTTCAGACAGAAATGTTGTATGCCTTCCCAAAATATACTCCTCATTTTGTAATTTTCTCCATCCTGTTATTTTGTCTCTGCCTGGTCCAAATATTCTCTCAGAATCTGGTCTCAGATATCTGCAGTTTATTTTCCATACATTTATATTATGAATAAGAGGAATTTATTTGTGTTGTCAGGCAATGGGCAAGAGAGTCTTTGCTGTAACACTACAGAGCATTGTGTAAAACCACGTTGTAAGGATCCATGTTTAGAAATTATACATTACTATTGATATAGAATATTGTAACGTGTTTCGTTACTGAAGACGCCGTTTGGATTGTTAATTGGTTTATTTAACAACCTACAAATCACGGCTACAATTAATTATAACAATATTGTTGGGTTTCACAATTTATAACCCTATTCGCAAATCAATTCACTCTATTGTCAGTAATCTACAAGTTTTCACAGTACGGGAGCTATACAAGTGTCACTGTGTTACACACTCCCAATTAATACTCGGTTATCACGAACTATCACTGATTCTCGCACACGTGTCCGTAACTCATAACTTGCGAACTGAGAACTGTCGTCAGCGGCTGTGTAGTTCCCTTATAAACCCTCAGCAGGGCAATGAGAAAACAACCACATAGTAGGCATCACTGTTGCTACTGTCGTCTATCGCAACCACTGTTTATCC